AACGCTTGGGCTTTATCCTTAGTTAAGGCTCCCCACCTGATTCTCGGTCTTCCTCGAGTAGACCTTTTCCTCCTCTTTAATATAATACCAACGTCCATCACCAAGAGCTTATGCTGCGTCGCGAGTATCTCACCCGGATTCACCTTGCAATCCTTGCACAACCCTCTGTCACACCTCCTGAGGAGGAGGTAGTCAATCTGGGTCTTCGCCACCGCATTTTGAAAAGTAACCAAATGCCCCTCCCTCTTCTGAAGGCTAGAGTTCGCAATCACCAACCCAAAAGCCTTAGTGAAGTCCAACAACGATGTACCTTCTCTGTTCCTCTCCCCAAAACCAAAGCCTCCATGTACCTCGCCATGGAATTTACACATAACAACAAATTATTTAACAATATAGTTCCATGGAATTTGACCAAGTTATAATTCCCACGATGCACGCCCACACGCCCGTCACCTAGCATGTGCGTCACCTCAAAACCGACCACATAACACATAATCCAGGGTTTCATACACTCAGAATAAAATTTAGAAGTGTTATTTACCTCAAATCGTATAATTCTTTACTCCGCTATGCCTTCGCCTCGCGAATTGGCCTATGAAAGCCTCGTATCTAGTCACAATTAATTCGATTCAGTCAATATAAATTATTGGAATTAATTTCATGTGAAAATACTAATTTTCCAACAAAATCCGAAATTTAACTCAAAAACGTCTCGAAACCCGACAAAAGTTACAAAATATGAACGTGCATTCAACCACGAGTCCAACCATATTAATTTTACCAAATTCCGACATCAACACGACCTCCAAATCTTAAATTCTTATATTGAAATCCCTAAGCCCAAATCCTCTAATTTCACCTCAAAAACACGTAATCTACTCAATTATAATCCAATATTATTGACTAACAATGATCACAAGTGACTTACCTCAAGTTTCCTGTGAATTCCCTCTTAAAATCGCCCCAAAACCATACTTGAAAGTCCGAAAATGACAAAAATGTCGGAACCACTATGTTTTGTAATCTGTCAAGGGGTTCCGCTTATGCAGAAAAACTAACCACATATGCGGTCCAGTTTTTGCGGACATGCTGCTGCTTCTGTGCCTGCTTCGCTTCTGCGGAGAAGAGTCCGCTTCTGCGAAGGAGTTGTTCGCTTCTGCGGTCTTGCCCAGCTCCCTTGCCTCCGCTTCTGCGAGCTCACACCTGCGAGCTAAATTCAGCAAGTGCAGTTACACCAGAAGGCCAAAATTTCCAGGAGCTGTTTAAGTCCAAATTTCAACCCGTTAACCATCCGAAACTCACCCGAGGCCCCCGTGACCTCAACCAAATATACCAACAAGTCTTAAAACATTATACGAACTTAGTCAAAGACTCAAATCATATCAAACAACGCTAAAAACACGAATCATATCCCAATTCAAGCTTAATGAAACTAAGAAATTTCAACTTCTACATTAAATGCCGAAACCTATCAATTCAAGTCCGATTGACCTCAAATTTTGCACACAAGTCATAAATGACATAAGAGACCTATTCCAATTTTCAGAATCGGATTCCGACTCCGATACCAAAAGTCAACTCCCCGGTCAAACTTCTAAGCTTAAAATTTTGTTTTAGCCATTTCAAGCTTAATTTAACTACGGACTTTCAAATAATTTTTCGGACACGTTCCTAAGTCCAAAATCACCATACGGAGCTATTGGAATCATCAAAACTCCATTCCGGGGTCGTTTACACATAAGTAAACATCCGGTCAACCTTTTCAACTTAAGTTTCATCTTGGAAACTAAATGTCTCAATGGAAAACACTTACCAGATGAAGGAGGTCCACAATATACCACCTGAAATGATTTATCAATCCAATGTACCACAAATTTCTTCCCTAAATTCGACAGATCCGAAAACCCCCCAATTTGTCGATTTCTTCAAAGTAAATGATAAATCAAAAGAACGAAGCTTTGAGAGGAATGAGGAACAAGGGAGACAACCACTGTGTGTTGAATGCAACTAAAACAAGCTACAATAGAGGAATCAACCGTGGGAAGTGGGGATTGGGGCAGCAGTAAGGGATGGATTTTTTTTAGGGATAAAGACTCAACTTTCCCTTCACTTTATAATCCAACTTAACCATTAATTAAGCATGAAGGTCAATCCTACAATAATTGAAATCTGAAGGTCACTTGGCCAATTCAAGTTTGAAAAGAGGTCACCTCACCAACTACCCCACGATACATTATAAAACGACATTTAACAACAATAGAAACAAGCTGTTAGTTTTGGCTAGGTGGCCTTAGACGCATCTTAAGTCCAAGATGAAACCATAGAAAGAAACAAGAAAAAAAATACTCATATGACATGGCAAAAATCTAATTTATCTTTCCACACTCCCAAGCAATGTTAACAACATGGACAATTCAATTCCTAACTGAAATAAGAGCCTTTTTTCTGAGCTCTACCATTTCTATAGAGAAGCAGAGGAAAAGAAATCAGGGAATAAATTACACAGCTAAAGAATAATTTGGCATACCCCTTTTTCACCTTTTACAGCTCTCAAAAAAGCTGTTTAGCTAAATCTCAAGGGCAGCAAAGAATACCTTTCACAAGGACATAGCAGAAACAATTTGTCGACCGCTCTTTGAGATTCTAGAACAAAACATAAACATCAATAGAACTGATGATAATAAGAACAATCTAAAGTATGTTCTAATCTCCTGCATTCCCAGCTCAAGCACTTCCATTTTCTTCCCATATCTACTTTTCCTTTCCATTAAATAACCATTCAGATAATCGTCAATAGAGACCCACTTCTCAAAACTGGATGCATTTGGATGAAGTTCCTTCATCTGGACTCCGCCCAAACTGAACAGTGTAAAGAATGCTGCAGACCAATCGTCGAGAACTCTCTGCAATCCAGAGTGAAAACGGCTGAGTGTTCTCGAATAAAATAATCGTTTTACTAACTGTCAACCTTTTTTGCTGGTAAAATCAGGCACATGAGAAAGGAGCATCATCAAAGAAACATAACGACGTACGTTAAAGCTGGTGATGTCGATGGGATTGAACATCTTAAAGCAGTCCTTTGATGAGGCTGTGCTATCACCATATATCTGCCAACCAACAGATACATGCATCATGTATACATATTAGATATTGAATTATCAGTAAAAAGATACTTGGCATTGAGCAAGGACTTTAGCTATGTATATAAATTGATAAATGAAGACAAACCTCGAAGGTGAAAGACATCGACACTCTTGCAATATCATACATATAATCAGTTGCTGTCCCATGAGCTAAATACCTGCATAAGTGCATAAGGTTGTAGTTAGAGTATGGAAAAGTTAAATCTAAGGCTAGACAATAAGTGAATGGTGACCCTAATATTTACTTCAAAGGGGGAAAACTGCGATCATTCTTATTTCTTAAAGAAAAAAGGGTAGGCAGAAGGACGAAATTAGATGTACACGTATTTCATGCCAAATATTGTGATATGAATTTATCATTATTCCTTTATGCATAAGTGGCATAACATCTATTTTTTTTTTCAGTGGTTCAATATCTATTTTTAGTAGTGAAATAGAGTACACTCACTAATAGATATATGGTGAGCATATTGCACAATATCTAACAGAAAAGCAATAGTTTAGGAATAACTGAATCGGAAATCTCCTTTCTCAAGCCAAGTAACTATAAAACCTAAAAAGTCATTTTATAGAGGATTAAAGTAGGTTGATTTATTAAATTTTCTGCATGCACAGCACTTCAGGTAGCTCCAATGCAAAATCTTGTCATAGTTCAATAGCTTTTGAGTATGCTAAGAAACACAGTATATCAAATCCTAACCTCGGATGGAGTAGAATATTCCGTCCTCCACTGGATGTGCTTTTTAAAAAAAAGTGACAGAATAGCAATGGCCTCAAAAGAATATTTTTCCATTTTGTATACATCAGAACTCCTGGTTGGGGTATTATCAAGTCTATTGCTTACGCAGATGCAGTACAGCATGCAATAGCATAGAGCTTAATAAACATATTAAACGTTCTGACGATTACAAGGGCAGCACGCACAATAAACAATAGTAGGGTCATGAAAATAAAGATTTAGGCAAGTCCTCCACAAACTTCAAGTCTGATACTAGTCAAATCTATTTGTTATGCACTAAATACAAAACCTGTTCTACGAAACTTAAACCACAAAAATAGCAAGGCATGGGTAAGCGATACAAACCCGACTGAGCCTCCGCCAGATCCAACTAAGCAACGATCCTTCAGTTGAAAACGATTCAGCTTTTCAAGCATTAATCTCATTCTCTGAGAAGGTAATCCTTCCGGCGTCGTGTTCTTGTGATCATATGGCATAAATAGAGCCTGAATAAAATGACATAAACAACCTAGAATCAGCATTTCATTCACAAAAGAAACTAGAAAGAATTATTCTCCAAAATTTCTGGGAGAGAATCCTACAAGGTCTCCTCTATGCCCTAAATTCTAAAACAAGTCATGGGGAAATCTTGAAAATAGTATCCTTTACATATGCAGAAAAACTTAGGAACAAAAAGCAGAAAGAAATACTACTAAAAGTTATACTTGCCTCCATTCCAGAATGCACGTTAACCCATATATGCGGTTCAAATGATGCACACAATTTCCGCATAATTTGTGTCTCAGGCTCACTGAAAGGGGCAGTCCCGGGATTTTCTTCATATGGATCATAATCCTGAAAAGGAAAGATCGAAGGGACAAAGAGCTGTATAAGCACATAACTGCATTAATTTGAACTAGTAAACACAAACAACATATACACAAGAATCCAGTATAGTAATATTAGTTGGTACTAAGTGTAAATATTACTTTAGCACCACCAAGATGGCATAAGCAACCGCCTTACAATAAGAAAAGGAACACGACCAGTCCACACACCAGTAACGAAGCAACACAACATCTAAACAAAATGAGAATTCCACTAATGGAGGTCTAGAGGGAAAACCTTTTCTTTCTTGCCCCAATCTACACTCCAGTTCCGATTAAGATCAACTCCTCTTCCTGCCAAAATTTTTTTGAACCTAGTTATCTCGATACTTCTCTAAAGAGTCAATTTTTGTGATCAGACTAGCAAGACGAATAGCTATACCGTTTCTTCTTTCACAGAGATCCCCTGCTTCTACAAGTTTGCGCCCATTCACATTCTCCATTGGAATAACCTGATAAGACAAATAACAGAGCATTCCCAAGTAACATTAGTTTTCAATAGAATTTGGTTACTCTCCAAAGTGATAATGATCTCTGTTTCCTTTTCTATTTTCAGTGCTCAGTATAGAGTAATTATTCATTAATTGCACAATGAACGAACTGAAAGAATTGAAAAGCAATATAGGACATAACATGCATTCTATTTTCACACTTTTTTGACTGCAAGTTCAAAATAGACTAGGATTTTACCTTTATGACAAGCCTATCAAGCGTGTTATTTAAATTAAGCGGGTATGAACTGGATAAGAATTCCTCTTCACTTAAAATGGAAAGAATCCGCAATGCGAGCTCCGTAGTTATGAGCTCCCTCCCATGCTGGCCAAAACTCTGGAACACAAGCAATTTATCTGTCAAAAACACCAGCAATGACCAATCTGAGAATTTTCTAACACTAAAGACCAAATCAGTATAATGTCTGGGAAAACATTAACCCAAAGTCTTTTCACAGATAACACTAGAAACCATCTACTTCCCCTCCTCTCTTCTTTTTTCATTTGAAGGCAACCATCTTTACAAGGGAAAGTGACCTAAATAGTGCCCACAAGAGGTAGTACACCATATACTTACATTCTACTAGAAATGAAGAGAGCAAAAGTGGACCAGAGAAAGTAAACTTACAAGAAGGATCCTAAGCTTTGACTTGTCATCACAGTCTTTCCTGTTCCGGCAATAAGTAACTACAGTCATCTCTGCAAGATACCCTTTGTTTTGACTAGAAAATGTTTCGAGCTGCATAAACATGAATAAGATGGGATTATTAAGAGATGCCTGTTTCTGTAGTTTCAAATTTTCCAAAGACAAAAGATTGAAAAGTTAGGGGATAAGGGGAAACCCACAGAGAGCTTGCTCGGGTGTCTATGGACCAATGCTTCAATCTCGTCCAACAAAGCTCCCCTACAAGATATCATCAATCGATCTCAAATACACAAATTATATAAAGTATAAAGGAAAAACATAACAATGCCGAAAAGTGAACCATCGTNCAGTAATCTTTCTAAATTCATAACAAAACAGAACACTGAAGCAAAAGTAGAGAAGCAAGTCATCACCTTTCTTAATACAGTCCTATCAAATTGAGTTAATAATACAACCATGTTGCAATCATACCCATATAAAACTCATTTTCAGTCTAAGTAATTAATAAGCTAACCTACTCACATCAATACACATCATTTACGATTCCTAGTTAATACTTAATTGCAATTAAAATTAAATTAAATAAACAGATAAAATCTCAGATATTTACCTGGTGTGATAAAGATCGTGATTGATAGGAGTAAGAGCAATCTGCGTGGCATTAGAATTTGAATTTCCATTGACAATAGAAGAACACAGAACAATCAACACAGCTCCACAAAGCAAAACTAACGGCGAAATGGGTGAAAAATACAAACGTCGCCGACGACGAAACCCCATTTAAATTACCAGGACAGAACCCACATCCGACGTTTCCGTGATGTGTCTTTTTGTTTTTCGACAAATCCCAAATCTTTTTCTTTTCGACAATCCCAAAACTTACAAACGTAGGAATTGGTTAAAGAAAATGTTGGGAGATGCCGGCAGTGATGTGGGTAGGGTGGGGGTTTGGGGGGGGGGGAGAGAAGAAGACAATATTGGTTAGGGAGTCGTTGATTTATAGAGGTTTAACGGCTATGATTGGATGGAAAAAATTTCAGATTTAACTGTGTTCCCACGCGCATGTTCCCATCAATCCAGTATCATTGTCACTTTGTATGGCTGTTTTGGGCAATTTCGTCAATTGTTGCTATAAAGTTTCAAAATTATTGTCTCTAATTATTTAGTTATTTTGCATTTGCACCCCAATATATGGATCATTTTTTTATTTGCACCATATTCTCTATGATTAATAACACCTTAATATATCCACTAGTTTAAAAATAAATTTCATTTTATGTGTTGAAGTTTGATATGAAGTTTAGGCATTAATCTATTCCCTTCGTATAGTTAAAAAATTTCGGTCTGGAAACAAAAATATCAATAAGGTGTTTTCATTCGGATATAAACATGACAGTATATGAAGTCTCAATGAAGTTGTTCAAGTGTAGATCCAATGCACTACTCAAGTAGACTTTGACGCATAGGGCGAGTGTAATTTTTTGATGCAAGGGTGGCTCTTCCCGGTGGACTGTATAAGTACACATGGATGGCTCACGTATGGCTGCTTATCAGGCGGATCGAGTGAATATTTACGTTTATCGGTTCAGTTAATCACTTATCGGCTTATAAATATAGTAATTCGCTAGCCAACCAATAAGACATCGGGCGACCTGGTATCGAGTTTGCGATTTATTTGTTAAATCAAATAAATAATAAAAATGAAGTTCATGGACTATAACTCAATAGAGATAAAGGGGAAACTTAGTTAATACATATTCCAAATTCACGAAAGGGAAAGGCTAAACAGTGTACATAAATAATTGTCTGAACAAGTGTAAAACTCCGTAGTACTGAACATAAACAATTGTATCAAAATAAGAAAGGAAAGGGCTATAGCATTGCCACTCACGGTTTATCAAAATAACAAGGGAAAGGTTATATACATATGAGTAAAAATATCAATATAATAATTCTTAACGTGTTAACAATTTATTCCATAAGAAAATTGAGTAATCCGCCTCCACTGATAAACCGTTAATTATAAAATTTTAATGTTTTTACCAATCGTTAATCCGATAACCCGTATGGTTTTACATGGATAGTATAGGGTCGAAAGGGATAAGAGATGTTTTTAAGGGAGAAAATATGTTATCTCTATGTCAAATATAGATGCATTCAGAAACTAGTCTTTTGGTTAAAAGAATTATATATGTAAGTAGGATGCTAGAAACAATTGACTTGTTTGGTTCTCTTGTGACATTAGTACTACCATTTAGTATCTAAAGTATTTGAAATTGTAATTCAATGTTTAAGTTTTTACGTTGAGAGGAATGAGCCATAAAACTTTATGGCAATTACAGAAAAAACTTACAGCTTATGAACGCAAAAAGAAAAAAAAGCTACTCCTTCCACTATTAGTTGTAGTTAGATATTGGAAGGAGGGAGAGGAATATTTGAACTGAGTTTAAGTGGACCATGAATATTTACATGTTTAAGGCCAAAGACTTCATTTTTTATTTTTTTTTGGGTTTTCCACTCGATGTCCGGTACCCGCATTGGAGCCCAATTCGGATTCGCATCGCGTAGGGTTCCATTCGGGGAAACGTTCTCTGCCAAAGATTTTTTCATACTCAGGACTCGAACCTGAGACCTCTAGTTAAGGATTTCATCTTGAAATAGTAAGAGGGCTAGGGTCTATAGAAGCAAAAACCACGAGCTCTTGATTACCTACTAACATGTTCATTTCTTCCTCATCCAATGTCACCCATGCTTCAATTCCATCAACACACTTAGTTTCCATAAGTATAATAAGATTCATGAAAAATGAACACCTTGAACTTATACTGCTAATCCATATTGGTTTTCCAAATCCAAAATCAATGTCATAGAATCCAAACTTGCACCAACTAGTAAAACCATAGTGATCTGCACCTTTTGTGCAAAAATCTCCAATTTCATTAAGAGATTTTCTCATCAAATTAAACCCTTCATCACTTCTCAGCCTTTTGACATAATGATCATCGATCCTCCTTATAGATTTTCGTACTTGATTCACCAAATCAGGCAACCCCATTTCATGTTTAGCAGTATTCTTTGCACTTGATAGCCAAAGAAGATTTCCAAGAATGTTTTCAGGCAAAGCTGGTGCTGCTCTTTTTCTCAAGTTCACAATGTGTGTCAGTAGCGAATTCGAAGGCCTCTTATTAGAACAAGATTTCTCTTTGGATGCAGCTATTGAACATTTCCATATAAAAGATGAGACAACCTCAACTTTAGTAGGATGTTTTATATGTGAGCTAGTTGACATAGTTTTAAGGTTGTCTATAGCAGAGGCATTAAAAACAAACCTTCTTGTAATAAAATTACCTTTCTTGAACAATGAACTCCACATGGTCATAGATGTGTCTCTTAACCACAAATCGTCAGCTGGGAAAAAATAATTAGCCATTAAATTAGGACATTGTACTTCATTTGAACTACAGGCTAATCCAGCCCAATATTTGAGAAATGTACTAAGGCCTACTCCATCAAGAATCTTATGTGCTATACATAAACCAATTGCAATTCCACCACATTCAAAAACATTAATTTGAATGTTAGTCACACAATCCCCTCCAACTAATTCCTTAAAAGGAGGTTGACAAGGAAGAAATTGACCAATTGATTCGAGGTTTGGTTCGTTTAGAAACTCGATTAGAAGGCAATTAACATTGGTCGTAACATAGTTAACTCCTTGATCATTGCAATCAATAGAGAGTTCATCTTTAAACCTTCCCGCAAGTGGATAAAAGCGAGACAAAGTATCAGCTAGTGATTTCTTTAACAATGCTGATTTTTCGTGGACTTTAATATCGCCAAGATTTGTATAGAAGAGTATAATAGGTGCATAGGAAGCTGGAATGAGCTGATCCAAGAGACAAAGACTAAAGTTTTTGAGGTGATTTGGTGTTGGAGATGAAGGTTGGATCATTTCTGTAGAAATGAGTTTAACTTCCATATTGATCATCTTTGGCTTATGAAAGTTGAATGTGTTTTGATGTAGGAAGAAAGATGAATAATGCAAAGAGCTTATAAAGATAGTTGTTGAGTGACATAACAGATGCCTAGCAGCATCTTTTAACTTTGTCCTGTACATAAATGCTAGAAGAAGGAACCATTCTAGAAATCTTAGTAATCTCTAGTTATAGTTTCATTAATTAATTGTACATGGATAACAATAACATGCCGAATGTAGCAATTCTTGTTAGGCATGAATTTGTCCCTTATTGATTATAAGAATTTGTTAGGGATATATTAGATATATGCCCTAGGTCCAATCTCATATTTGATGTTTTGAACATATTTTTGTGAATGTTATTTGATATAAAAATATATGGCATTTGATATTCATTTATCATAGTTATTATTAATTGCTTGATTAATTTAATAAGGTCCTTGATTAAATTTTAAGACTTGTCATCATGATGGAGATCATGATAATGAGAGTAAAGTCTCTACAACTTAATCTAAATTTTGTTCTTGATCGTAGGATTATTAATTTGGACATTAGTAATCTGGTTAGATCAATACTTATGTGATCGTCTTTATGGGATAAAGTTTAGTTGATATCATTAACTAAATCACATAAATAGATGATGTATATAGAGATATGATCATTGAACCGATTTATTGGATAATTCCTAATGGTTAGAATTACCATAAACTGTCAATAGGATATTTTCTCGAAGAATATGATGTAAGAGTTTCATTTGACTTGATATCATTATAGTAATTGACAAGTTATTTATTATGCTTTGATACTAGACACCTATGGCCCTAGGGCGATAGTTGAAAGGATATTGGATACGATTAAATCCTTGTAGAATTAGTGATTGATCAAGATAGAATCTGTCAACTCTTGGTAATGAGTTTAAGCTCCATGTTGTCATAAATTATAGCCGACCAAATTAAGACCTTGGCCAGGGTGATTGAATGAAAGAAGAAAAGAGTTTCTTAGGTCATTCAATGGTCGATTATATTTGACATGAACACATAGTTAGTCGCCTATTAGGATTTGACAGTTGAACCATATCCCAGGGTGACCCAGAGCTATAAGGACAGAAGGAGTTAATGCATTATTCTTCTACGGGTTCTTGAGAGTAAATTGTATACTTCATGATATCCGGTCGTTAAGGAGCGTTGCTAGACGCCACCCTTGATTAGTATATTAATGTGATCAATTTACTACCGGCTCAGTATTGAACCTATGGGGTTGCACACTAACGAGTGTTCTGATCTTTGCTAAAGGATTAATTACTTTATTATTTGATAATTCAATTAAAGAATTTAATTAGTCAAATAAATTAATTTATTAGTCCAAATAAAATATTATTATATTCTTTGCTAGCACAGAGGATATAATTAGTATTGTGAACAAATTGAAGCTTTCTATTTAGAATAGAAAATTGAATTATATCTCTTGATTAAAATATATATGTGATATATATTAATATTGATTTATATAAAGATTGTATATATAATATCAATTTATTCTTGTAATCCAATTTTGAATTGGATCAAGTAATTGACGTGAAAGTCCAAATTTGACTAACGTGAATTGGACGTATTGGCTGCCGTATACCCATTTGGAATGGGATTCAAATTTTTCCAAATAAAGGGTTCCATAATTCCAATGTTCGAATGGACTTTTGAGAAGGAAAAAAATAAGCTTCTGTTATAAGTAAAATCAAATTATGGTGAATGTCTACTCTTCTTTCATGATCTTCTCAAATGCTTAATGACATATTCAATGACATATTTCTATGCTTAATGACATATTTTTCTTCACTTTTCATGCCAATATAAAGGCCTTGTAATAAGTAGAAAAATACACACAATTGAAGAAGAAAATCTCTTCCTTCTCTCTATCTCCATTTCTTGTTCATATTTTACTAAATTGCTTTTATTTCATAACACGTTATCAG